GGAGAGGAGAGGAGAGGAGAGGAGAGGAGAGGAGAAAGAAGAAGAGGAGAAGAGGTGAAAAGCTTAGCTGGTTTGTAGCATATGCCTACATTCCAAGGTACTTAAAGAGACATTATTTAGGAATGTAATGTCACCAATTCAAGCCCAATCTGAGCAATTCAATAAAAGTGCCATCCCAAATTTTAAGAAAAGCAGGGCCTAGGGAGATAGCTCAGTAGAATAGGTGTTTGTCTGGCAAGCGCAGGGTTCTGAGTTCAATCTCTGGTACTACAAAAAAAAAAGTAACACCAAATTTTAAGAAAAGGAGCCGGGCATAGTGGCCTGTAATTCCAGCACTCTGGAGAATGAGGACCACTGCAAGTTCAAGGCCAGCCTGGACTACAGAGGGAAACCCTGTCTCAAAAAACAAAACAAAACAAAAACAAAAACAAAAACACTAGAGAAAAGGGGTGGTGCTGGTCATATAGCTCAGTGTGAAAGCCCTGGGTTCAATTTCCAGTACTGTTTAAAAAAAATAAAGTCTGTAGAGCAAGTATTAGAGAATGTTTTACATAAAAATGTATAAAATTAATAACTTTATATGAAATAGTTCACATAAGCCACACAGAATATGAAACGGCTTTACCATATATACACCTCTTTTTTGTGTTGACAAAAAAAAAGCTGTTTACTGCACTTTCAATATGTAAATAGTTTCATACCAGCCTGATTATTATTCCAGATCCGGGAAGGCCTGGACACACACTCCGTGAGCAGCACAGCCCCTGCAGGAGGAGCTTCTGTGTGTCCTCCTTCACCAGCTAAGAACAGTCAAATATAATAAGCTCACAAAAGTCCTGAGAGGCAGCCTTGAGCCTTAAAATCTGATATGAAAATAGAGGCCCAGGCAAAACAGATAAAAGATACTATCACACTTTAAAGTCAATTCTAGTTATTTTTGTAAAAGGACTTCTTTGGACTGTTGCCAGAGATCTCACGGACAATTTTAAAGGCAGGCAGGAGCAGAACCATACAGAAGAGGACAGAAAGAACCAGAAAAACACATCAAATCATACGGCAAATTTTTCTGTAGCCTTTGCAAGTATTCTGACCAACATGGAAGAAATGGGGGGTGGAGCAAAGATGTGTATGTGCTTTCATTGGTCTTATTTATAAGTTTTATTTGAGGAACTATCTTTCCCAAGCTCAGCATTTTCGGTATTAATAAATCTAATAAGTAAAATGCAAGTTTATAAAGATGAAAAGGGTAAAGTAATTTTATGAAAAGTCACTTCATAAAAATCGCATTTGAGGAAATAGCCATCATCTTTTTTTTTTTTTTTTTTTTTGGTACCAGGGATTGAACTCAGGACCTTATACTTGCCAAGCAAGAGTTTATGCCCCTGAGCTATCTCCCCAGCCCTACATGTGCATTTAAACCAGGATATGATTCAACTTTTTCAGAAGGTGTTTATTACACTACAAAAGACATGTGTAAACCCTGGGTTATTTCAGAAGGCACCTTCTAGTTCTGAGTGACCACCATCACCCTAGCTCTGACGAGCTTACAGGAACGGTAGAAACAAATAATTTGGTTTATATCTGTAACATGCTTATTTTAAAAGATTTCTTTTATATACCTTATGTTATTATATTATTTTTTGATACAGGGCCTCGCTACACAGTTTTGGACTCAGCGATCCTCCTGTCTCAGCCTTCCAAGCACTGGGTTACAGGTGTGTGCCACCATGCCCACTTTTGGGGTGGCACAGTGTGTCTGGAGTTCTGGGGCCAGCACAGCATGCGGTACCTGGGATCGAACTTGGGACTTCGTGCTTGCCAGGCAGATGCTTATGCTGCCAAGCTATCTCCCCAGCCCTCAATACCTTAATGTTTTTTTTTAATTTTATTTATTTATTTATTTATTTATGTGTGTGTGTGTGTGGCCAGCACAGCCCACCAGGGGGCGGGGCTGGCTGGCATGTGGTGCTGGGGGATTGAACCGCGGTCCCTGTGCTTTGCTAAGCTTGTTCTAAGTAGGTGCTTTAGACCACTGAGCCATCTCACCAGCCCCTTAATGTTAAGTACATATAAAATGCACAATATTATGGGGCCGGGGAGATAGCTCAGTAGAATAAGTGCTTGCCTGGCAAGTGCAAGGGCCTGAATTCAATACCTGGTTCTGAAAATAAATAAATAAATAAAATTTAAAAAATAAAATGCACAATATTAGACAAAAAAAATTTTCAGGTGAGCTCACAAGTAATCGTAAGGCTGAGAAATAAGATACAACACTCCAAAGAAGCACCCAAAAAATATTAAACAACAAAAAGGCTCAGTGTTACAGCACAAGAACTAGTACAGCTAGAACGAACTCTGTGGCCAACCTTCTCTTTCAGTTCCCCAAGATAGGCAGTGTTCTGTCCAAGGATAGCTTCAGCAGATTCCTGGAAACAAGTCACCCACTGATTCTCTTGAAAATCGGCGATATTTGCCTGAAAAAACACAACTTTCTATTATTTAAGCAAATAAATAATAAAAGGAAGACAGATTAAGGGCAATGGGAGGTTAATTTTTTCCACACATTAAAATTTCCAAGGTGAAAAATACTACCATGGGGCCGGGGAGATGGCTCAGTGGAATAAGCGCTTCCCTGGCAAGCGCAAGGGCCTGAGTTCAATCCCCAGTTCCACCAAAAAAAAAAATACTACCATTACAAAAATATAGTTTTCAATTTATGAAGGTTTGACTCAAACAATTTTTCACTTTATATGCAAAATCATATCTATTCAACCATCCTGTTTTCACTTAATAATTTATAGAATACCATATTCTATAAATTATACTCAACACTACTACAATATAAGCTTTATGTCAGATTATTTTGCTCAAATGTAGACAAATGTACCTGTTCTGAGCCCATCTGAGGTAGGAGTGCTAAGGCTATGATGTTCAGTAGTTCATTAAACGAATTTGTGGCTTGGCAACAGTCAGGATGTAACCCCACTGTAAGTCGAGGGACACCTATACTATGGTCTTTGTAAAACTGTTGAAGGTATGACAGAAACAAGTTTCAGGTGTAGTCTAGATATGCCTTGATATGTGATTTCAGAGCTTAATTAAAGACAGAGCCCAAGGGACTGGGGAGGGAGCGCAAGGGCCTGAGTTCAATCCCTGGTTCCATCAAAAAAAAAAAAAAAAAAAGACAGAGCCCAAGTAAACTGCAGATATAGAATCTGTGCACATATAACCTAGTTCCTCTAGATGCGATGGGTTTGGGACTGGAGGTCAAAACAAGCCTCCACCTGTAGCATAGGTACTTTGTACTTTAAATTAGACATATGTCCTCCAGCTGATAGGAGAGGCTATGTGAGATGGATTGATCTGAAGCTCCCAGGCAACTTCAGAGCCAGGGCTAAAGCTCTTTAGCAATCAAATCTACTCAGCAACAAAAAGGTATAATCAAGCATCTCCAACAGGATACATGGTATGAAATTAATTTGGGGCGGGCCAAAGAAACAAGTGGATCTCAAAGAACCTAGCTGCTCATGTAAGCTTTTTTTAACTAAGAAATCACAGTAAAGTCTTTTTTAAAAGTATCACTGTGATGATTTCACATATTAACTTTGCATATACACAGGGACGTTAAATAGAAGATGTGACGATGAGAAAAAAGTTGAGGGTCAGGGATATAGCTCAGCGGCATAAGCACCTGCCTGACAAGCACAAGGTCCTGAGTTCAATCCCCAGCACAAAAAAAGAAAAAAAAGACAGTGACATCCATACTGGAGCTCGCGTCTCCTTTACTCTGCTCTCCTCATAAGAGGCACCAAGCCTCGTGCTCTGTGGGGGAGAACAGCAACGCTGCAGGCCCACGGAAAATGTCAAATGAAGCAAGTGTGCAGGACAACCCACGACTTAGCAGTTTAACATGAAGGTGGATGGAAAAAACTATCTGAAACAGTGCCCTTCGTCTTAGTTCAATGAAAAGTTTAGTTTACGAAACTGAGAAATGCAGTGGAACTGTCCTGAAATCACAACTTTAAGGGGCTTTTAGAATGTAGAAAGGACAGGTGGAATTCTTTCTCTTGTTTTAATCTAAAAGGATTTCTTTAAACTTATTATAAGTAGTCATGGCACATACACAAAAAACTGCATAATGCAGAAGGATAGAATGAAAATAAAAATTAGCCCAGAAGTAATCTTGTGATATTCGTCCTGTTTTTTTTCTTCTTGTCTGTGTGCATTCTTTAAGATCATATAAGATACTCCATTTAAAATTTGCTATTTTCAACTAATAATTTTGACTATTCACTTAGGATTATCCAATAGTCCTTTTTAGTAATGGTTTGCAAACATGATAACTGCCAGATAATGAATGGTTGTTTCTAAGGGCTTTGCAGCATCCCACCTTATATTCAATAAAGGAATTAACCAACAGAATATTAAGGACATTCAAGTAGAATCCAAATTTTTAAAGTGAACAACAGTGTTAACTTTCTGCACCATAACATACCTGATTATTTCCTTAGATAGACAACCTAGAAAAATGTGAGTGCCTTTTTATACTTTTATCATTTAGGTACTTCATACCTTTCATTTTAGAGGTTTCTGGAAAAAGAAAGCAATCTTTATAGTGCAAAAAAAGCAACAATCCCACCTCAAGCACAGTCACATTCCTCTGAAGTCAGCTCTACTAAGACTGGAGGAACAGATCATCCGTAAGAAAAATAACTAAATATAGGCACTGGCTGTATAAGTACAATTACTGCTCTCCAGAAATGCCATTTCAAATTAATTTATCTTCATAAGAGTTAGCAGGTGAGTGCCACCAATACTGTAATTGTATGACATCCACAGAAGACTAAAATCATTTGGGGCATCTCAATTCAACTTCCTGGCATTAAAAAAAGCTTTTAGTAGCAGAAAACAGACTGCTATCCAGTTGACTGAAAGGCCCTACTTGCTTATTTATAGAATAGTAACACACTCCTCAGCTCCTACTTATCTGCAAACTCCCTATCGTGGGCCATCTTGGTTGTGCTGGTCCAGCCATGGCGCCTGGCCCTGGTGGTTCTCAGGCACCCACTCTACTTACAGATAAGATCATGCGGTATTTGAAGTTGGGAAATTCCCGGTCGCACTTTTCACAGCGGTATAAGCCATTCTGCTGGTCAATCACTTTTTTATTGCAATCCTGAGTTGGGCAGGCCTGGTACATACAGTTCTCTTTGCGAAGATACACCACTGTTGCCACGGAGCTGAAATAGTCCGCCTTCAGATGAAAACAAAGCCTTAAGACATAGGGCCGCACCTACACTCAGCGCAGACACAGGCAGCTCAAGGCGTGCCCTTACTTACAAATGCTAGGTGCAGTCCATGCATCCTAATTCTGAAGCTCACAAAGTGATTACATGCAATCATTCATTCCATAATTTCAGAAATCACATGTGCTGTGTATGAAAGCCACCAAGGCAACAAACTTTGTTCTAAAGCATGCAATGTCTTGTAAGTTATTTCTAAATTAGATTCAATTAATTCAATAAAACAAATAGTGTTCTTCTTTGCTGGAGACTATAAGACTTGTTCCTTCTGTTCCTCTGAACCTCCAAAGGCCACAGATTTAGGAAATGCCAAGTAATGGAGACTACAAAAATCTAGTGTAGTTATGATCAACCATTCTTCCCACATTAAACAGAAGCAAGGGCAGTGATTCCAAGGGTGTAGGTCCTCCTCTGTGTTTGTCTAGGTCAGGAGCCAGCAAGATCTTCCTGTAAATAGTTACACAGTAAATATTTCAGGCCTGATGGGCCATTTGGTTACACAGTCTCTGTTGCAGCTACTCAAATCTTGCTGGCAAGAGCAGTCTACAGAGGAAGCATATGGCTGTGTTCCAATAAAACTTTATTTACAACAGGTGCGCAGCAAGGTGGACATGGTCTGTGGCCTTGTTTACCAACACAGGTTTGAGTCATTAAAATTTAGCACAATGCAAAAATACCTCTAAATAAGATCTGTGCCTTCTCAGCAGAGAGATTAGAGAGAAGTGTATCTGGCAAAAACTAAGCCATATTTTGGGATTTTTTTTTTTTTTTTGGTCTCTGTGTGTGGTTGATATCTGCTTTTACTTTTAACCTTCAGAGAGGTTCTCAGATGAATTATTTTTGGTTTGTGTTTAGTACTGCCAGGGAGCAGTTCCCTCTGGGTGCACCCAAATTCAGAGCTAGGTCACCAACTGCTGGGACCTCCTGATGTCTCAGACCAAAAAAGGTAAAACAATGGCTGTTTAAAGAGCTTGGATGAGTAACTAGCTTAGAAGGCTACAGGGTTAGGGGCATAACTCCATGAAAGAGCACTTGCCTGCATACATGAGGTTCTGTATACAAACCCCAGGACCACACACACACACAAAAAAAAAAACAACAAAAACATTTTAAGCTGAGGATGGTGCTTTACACCGTAATCCTAGCACTTGGGAGGCTGAGGCAGGAGGATTGCCAAGAGTTCAAGTCTTGCCTGAACTACATGGTGAGCCCTTGTTGCAACAACCAAAAGCAACAAAATTTTTTAAAAAAGGAAAAGCTCCAGAGACAGGCAGAGGACATAGCTCAGTGGCAGAGTGCTCAGCTTCCCTAGCATGTATGGTGGCACATGCCTATAATCCTAGCAGGAGGACTGCAAGTATGAGTCCAGCCAGGGCAATGTAGTGACTTAGTAAGTCTCCATTCATGATCCTCTTCCCTCAGTCTCCCAGACTGCTGGGACTATAGGCGTGCGCCACCTTACCAGGCTGAGTGCCTCATTTCTCTCTCTCTCTCTCTCTTTGTATTTTAGGGAAGGGTCTACAGAGTGCTCAGGGTCTCACTACATAGATCGGACTCATAGATTTTCCTGTTTACAGCCTCCTAAGTGCTGGGATTACAGGTGTGCACCACCATGTCTGGTCTCAGTGGCCGGTTCAGTGTGCCTGGGGGCGGGGCCTGTTGTACCAGAGATTGAACCCCAGTCCCTGTGCTTGCCTAAACAGGTGCTTAGTCCACTGAGCTATTTCACCCAGTCCTAACATAATTTAAATATTGAAATGCTGGTGGGCATGGGGGTGCATGCCTATAATCCCAGCACTCAGGAGGCTGAGGCAGGAGGATCATGGGGAGTTTGAGACCAGCCTGGGCTACAAAGTGTGCTCAAAGCCAGCCTGAGTTGAACAGTGAGGCCCTGTCTCAAAAAGACAATCAAGGGGCTGGGGAGATGGCTCAGTAGAATAAGCGCTTGCCTGGCAAGCACAAGGGCCTGAGTTCAATCCCCAGTTTCACAAAAAAAAAAAAAAAAAAGACAATCAATCAATTGAACTGCGGACAGAATACAGGTTAAACCAAGATGGGGTGAGGGTCATTAACAAATACTGGAAAGAAAGCTCTAAGTGAGGTCGAACATCAGAGCCAACCCTTGCAAGACACAGAAGTGGCAGGGCTGGCCGAGGAGTGGGGAAGCACTCGGCAACCACCTAATGCCTGCTCTGAGCCTGAATAGTTTGCTTCACTCAAAATACATCTTTGAGATACACAAGCACTTCCATTTGTAGAAACAAACTGAAAAGAAGTATGGGCCTCAAATCAGTTCACACTATCAGAAAAGCTTGGTGATTACTCCTTCAAGTTCTGTGAAGAAACAGCTCTTCACATTTTTCTGCCTCAACATATCAGCAGGCTCCCATCATTCCCATCAGGAAGCCCGGCCGCCTCGCTCTGCCATGCCTCTCAGTCACGCAGCACTGGGCAGAACCTCAGGCAGGAAGCGCAGCTCTGAAGTAACATCCCACTGCTGGTATCACAAACCACATCTCCAACTCATCCTCTCATTGTAGGCTTTCCATGCTTTTAAAAAGGATCAAGGACATAAGATAGATACCTTGTCACCTTGGCCCAGGTTCTCTGACTTGACTTCGTATAAAGTTTTCCAGTTGGTGTTGCTCCCTCCTAGCCCCCCACTCTTCAGGTCAGAGATGGAAACACCATCTAAGGTTTGGCCTTCAGCGTCAAACCTGAAAAACAAATCCAGGAACTTCATGCACTTCTCCCATGTGCTACTTGCTCCTACAGACTAAGTAGGAGCTCCTGTCTCCTGCTGTCACATCAGCCATTCCATGACAGTGAAGTTGGTACTGTTTCTTCATTACACTGTAGGTCTCCTCTTCCATCTTATTTGCTTTGATGCCCTCCAGTGGCCAAGACAAACAGTGCCAAAGTACCACGGACCCTTGTCCTGCACAGGCCGTGCATGCTGGAAGTGGCCCCGACCTCAAGGTAACCAGGAAAGTCAACAAAAAATACTGTGGAGCCCTGAGAGACCTCTAATGCTTGTCCATCTAAGGCTTGTCCTGCTACTTCAGCAACAGCTGCATTTATTTATTTATTTATTTATTTATTTATTTATTTATTTATTTAGTGTGTGGCCAGTTCAGCCCACCAGGGGGCGGCCCCCCGCCCCGGGGCTGGCTGGCATGTGGTGCTGGGGATTGAACCGCGGTCCCTGTGTTTTTGCTTAGCTTAGCTTGTTCTAAGTAGGTGCTTTAGACCACTGAGCCATCTCACCAGCCCAACAGCTGCATTTTTATCATCCAATATACTGAAATATACTGGAATGGAAAGGGACAGGTAACATTTTGTAATAGATTACACAAAGATGTTCCCAGGGTGGAAAACCTATTAAGCCTGATCGGCTACTCTAAATGATTTTATAACCTGAAGTCATTTATCAGAAGGCACTATTTGCTTTCTTGTAGATTTACCATTCATTTATTTAGTGATACAAGAGTTTGAAGCTGGGGCCTTCACACTGAGCTTTTTTAATTCTGAGACAGGGTCTTACTAAATGATCCAGTTATGCAGGCTGTGCTTAAACTTTTGATCCTTCTGCCTCAGCCTCCCACAGTGCTGAGAGTATAGACGGGTACCACCACCCTTGGCTTAAGTTCATCTTTTTAGTGAGATGTTACTTATCCCAACATTAAAGTTACACTAACTTGCATTGAATTATTATTAAAATCAATTATTCTTCTTGACTGCCTATCAGTTGATCTGAAGTAAAGCAAGTCACAAGGGGGCTCAGGACCATCCTTGAAGCATAGAGCAGTTAGCATGAGCTTAAGAACACCAAATGTGGGCTGGCCAGATAGCTCAGCGAATTAAAGCTCTGCTTAGGCAGACAGGGGCCGGAGTTCTGATCCCCAGCCTGCTGTGCTGGCCCCACCCCTGGGGTACACTGAGATACTGATTGAGACTGGGCGTGGTGGCATGTGCCTAGGATCCCAGCACTTGGGAGGCTGAAAACCAGGAGGATCACTATGAGTCCCATCTGTGTAGTGAGACCCTGTACTAAATACATTAAAAAACAAAACAAAACACCCCACACCAAACATGATCCAAAAGGTGGGTAAGTAAAAGCTAACCACATATAGAACAGGCCTCCTAAAAAGAGCCCTCCCACAGAATGGATTATGCCCTGAATTGCAGACAGCTGCCTTCTCATTCTGTCAGACAACCAGCTAAACTCTCTCGCAGAAGCCTGGCAAGTCCATAAATCTGCTTCACTACCAGCTACACAAGTTTACGGTTTCAGGGCAGCTGTGAGATGGCTACACCCTGGCGAGAGGCACAGAGGCTGCAGCGAGCCCTGGTGCAGCGGAGCAAGGGTGTGGAGCAGGCACGGGCTGCTGAGGGGCCAGCAGGCAGCTCTGGTGGAAAGCCATATAACCAGACACTATCAAGGAAATCATAAGCGATACTATATCACAACCGGAAACACATGGGAGTTTACCTGAACAAGGATCAACACATATTGTGGGCTAACAGCACACAGCCTTTTCCAGAGCACCTTGCATGTGGCTTACCAGCGGCAGTGACCCCATTTTTGTCAGCACCTGCCTCTTACAAAAGTTTAGCAAGTTTACCTCTGAGCACAGGAAATTTGAATTGTAATGCCTGTACCATGACACATTGGCTTAACTGCTGGTGGTCTGTACCCTGCTTGCTTGGCCATACCTGTCCACTCTGCTACCAGGGAAAGAGAACCTCTTAATGTACTGTAGAAACTTCTCAACCGTTCTTCAGAAAAATGTTATTTCCCCTTTCGTTTCAGACTGTGTTTGCAGCAAATTCTGGGCCTAGACCGGGGTGGAGCATCTACGGCACATGTGCCAGACTGAGCTGTTTATCATCACTCCAAGCTCCAAAAGGTCTGCCATCACTGGTCTAGATGACATCAACTACATATTAAAAAGGCTCTTCAGGGCCAGGCTCTTCATGGCTCAGTAGAATAAGTACTTCCCTAGCAAGCGCAAGGACCTGAGTTCAATCCTCGATTTCACAAAAAAAAAATTAAGAAAGGCTCTTCAGTTACCTAAACTGGACCTAGAAATACACTGATTTTTTTTAACCAAATATGTATGTAAAAATAAAATGGTAAAAACAACAAAAAAGTTTCTAAAGCTCCAAGGAGACATGTGCCATCAAAGATAACTCGTGAGGAGGTAACAGAGCAAGAGGCCAGCCAGCCCTTCTTACATACAATAAAAACTCCCCCTTGTGAAAGCCAAGATCTAAATTCTAATCCGAGGAGGAGCATGTGCTACACAAACTTCCCTTTGATCAATGTCAAGTTATTTTGTCTGGGGCACAGCTCTGTCCTTACGTAGCCTGGGATCACAGATACCGACAAGTGAAATACGAACACCTCAATGCAGACATGCAATTAACCTGGGGTCATGCTCGAAAGCCTGAAAGTACATCGAGCAAGAAGAAAAAACCAGAACCATGGCTATTTGTGGTCAGACTATCAACAGGCCCTGCCTTGTAATACAGTACAAGCTACTAAAATACTTGAATGGGGGCTGAGGATTTGGCTTGGTGGTAGCTGGAAGTCCTGGGTTTGGTCCTCAGCACCAAAACAAAAACAAAAACAAAAACAAAAAACAACAACAAAAAACTAACCTCCCCCAAAAAATTTCAACCAAAAAAAACCCCAGTAAAATGAAATAGTTAAATACATGCAGGTGGGTCACACTCACAAGGATGACTTGTGAGTGATGTCATATGGCTATCCAGCAGATGTTTCATGAAATACTAGAGCTACTGGTTTCCATTAGACTCAAAAACTCCCCAAAGAGTTGAAATACAGGCTAATTTTTGAGTCATTTAAATTCTAAGACATAGTTGGAAACTGACATATGTTCCAGGATTCTGTGATTATGGCTATACAAATTATTAAGCTTGGGCTAAAGTGTTTTCCCTGACCACATCAATTCTTGCCTACTATGTTTCAGGCTCAAATGCTCCAGAGTTTTAATGTCTTAAAAAGCTAGATCTAGTGAGATTTTAATAGGCTCCCCTTCATCCCTTGAGTGCTTTGGGAATAGTGATACAATGCCAACTAAAGCCTTCAGTCCCTATCATGCTCTATCTTGTGAATAGACACAAGAAGATGCGGCCAGCACCAGAGACTCCACGCTCTCCCCTTCTACCATAGGTCCCGCTGCTCAGGCCTGGGAGCAAAAGATGCCCCTTAGCATAAAATTGTCAGTACACAGCTAAGCCTGGCCGCCCCTGCTTTCTCAGGGCTGAGGTCAGCATGTGGCCCTTACATTCTAATTGCCTCTTTCCAACTCACCAGGTTTGTCACAGGATTAGGGTTTGTCAGTTTTAGGGCTTTAAAGTCATTCTCTCAGAAGGCATATGCCTCCAAGAAATAGAGAAACGGCTCTGTTCAGTCACAAAGCCTTCTGTTTGCTGGAGAGCTCCCATACTCAAAGCCTGGGCTCAAATATCCCCTTGGCTTAGCTCCATAAAACCTACCATCCACGAAGCTTATAGGCCTCAGGGATGTCAGGATTCATGATGATAGTGCTTGACGACAGCACAGAGAGGCTCCGTCCACCAAAATCAGAAACTCTGGCTCCTTTTATGGCCATCACAGGCTGTCTGGAGCCATCAAATTTGTCAGCCTGTAAAACAAACACCAAACACACACAAATGTCATTGGCAGGAAGAATACACTCAATATTTTTAGAGAAAACAAGGAAAAGTCAATAGTAAATATAATCAATGTATGCAGACTCTATAGAGACAGGCTACATATGCAGGAATCCTGAGAAACACATCAAAACTAATCTATCAGTACTCTCCTAAAGTTAGAGGAAAGAGAACTTCACTACAGAAAGCGGACATCACAGCACTCCTCATAGAAGTAAAAGAAGACTTCAAATGATCACTAAGGGGGGAAAAAAAATCAGCACAACCCTTTACCACCTAGGCAGCCAAAGCCCCACAGGACAAGATAACCTACGCATGGAGCTCTTTTTGTTCACTGCAGGTACTTACATCTTCTCCCCACAGAGTGGCCGTTACCACTTTCCCTGACGTGTCCATCAAGTAGATATTTCTCTTAGCAACTTCTCTGTTGTTAGACTTTACGGTGATTTTAGTGGCATCTTCATAGCTCTTGCAGATCCCAATTATGTCTAAAATATAGGCACAAGGTCTTAGTGCAAGAGGTCAAGTCTCCTCACATAGCATGACCAAAGGCTGAATGGCAAGCACCCAAAGTGTGACCCGCCACACACTACAAATCATCATTCTTTGTCCCCAGACCTGGACTTACCCACAAGTGAGTCTTTTGACTTTTTCTCCAGATCATCAATTCCTATAAAATCAAACTGAACTGTAGGTAAGTGATGATCATCTTCACAGGGTACCACAGAAGTCTCACTATTGAAGGTCATCTCATAGTCGTTTTTAACAGCTGAGAACTGTTTGTTAGCAATCTTTAGGGTGCCTTTTGTGAAATAATACACCTGCAAAAGAAACCAAGCCATGCAATGCAAGATAGCTCAACAAATCAGATACAATACTCCAATGAACAGCACTCTGCTCATCTCTGATCTACCAGCTAATGGAGGAGTCCCCTCTAGGTTTTTGTCTTGGTCCAAGAAGTCCATATTTGTAATATCAAAGATATGTTATTGGAATCCTATCAAGTTAATTCCACTCTGCCACTCCCAGTGCAACCCACAGAGAAAGTAAAGACTAAAACCTATTTATAATTATTGGAGGGGCCAGGGAGATGGCTCAGTAGAACAAGCGCTTGCCTGGCAAGTGCAAGGACCTGAGTTCATTCCCTGTTCTGCCAAAAACAAAAACAAAAAAAAAAAAACCCCAAAATATAATTATTAGGGAGCCAAGGAGCCCCAAGTCCAGCCATGAACATGGCTTTCTAAAACAAAGAGGCTGACCCAAGGGCCACACTGGGGTTTTATTCAGTGGAGGAGTAGCCCGAGGAGAAATGACTGAGAATTGTGGGAAGTGGGTGAGTACTGTGAGCTGAGCTAGGTAAGTGGCCTACATTTACCTCTGCCATATGCAGAGAAAGTAATTTGCATTATGCTATTGAGATAGTATCTCATGTTTTGAGGATCTGGTGCTCAACCAAAATGGTGACAATCGCTCTTCTTTCAAGAACAGCTGCTTGGGTGGTCCTCCACAAGCTAACTCAACAATGTCAGTTCTAAATCAGTATTATGGTACCTTGTTCACTTCAATGAGGGGGAAGAACTTGTCCACCTGATCATTGAAAGCAGTAGCTCTGATTTCACCCTACAGAAGCAAGTGAAAACATGTTATTTATAATGTCAAAGTCAATTAGAGTAGGGAGAAGTTCAACAATTTCCCAAGTAGGCTAGGCATAGTGGTATGTACCTGTAATCCCAGGACTTGGGAAGCTGAGGCAAGAGGATTGCTAAGAGTTTAAGATCAGCCTGGTCTATACAATGAGTTCAAGGCCAGGCTAGATTACATAGTGAGACCTTGTCTCAAAAACCAAAGCAGGACCAAGGATTTAGCTCAGCGGCATAAGCACCTGCCTGGCAAGCACAAGGTCCCAGGTTTGATCTCAGTACCAAGAAAAAAAACGAAAAGAAACAAACCAAAACAAAACCACCAAAAGAATCCTTCCCAAATTACCTATTCAATTGTTTCAAAAATATCTTAATATATATGCTAATTTGTTTCATTTATACTACTAGTTTCTCTTTTTTTCTTTTTTTGAGCAGAATATATTTATTGAGAGAAAGAAAGCTCCTGTCCCGAGAGGGACAGGAGGGGGGACCCGAGTGTGTAGTTCCCCCCACTACTAGTTTCTCTTAACTCGCTGAAAAATTTTGTTCTATTATCCATTTCTTCTTTGTTGAGAGACCTTTTTCGTTTAGGTGCTATCTTAAGAAACTACTTTGAAGATCACGATACAGAATATTAACTATTGTCATTCTCTAATTTTGCTATGAAGTTTTATTTTTTTCGTAAAATAAAAATTAAAAAGCTAAATTCTTTTTTTTTTTTTAATTATTTATTGTGGATTTTTCTTTCTTTTTTTTAATTTGAACTTTATTTCCTTTTCTTAATTTATTTGGTACGGGGTTGGCATAGCATGTGGTGCCAGGGATTGAACTTGGGTCCTTGCACTTGTCAGGCAGGCACTTAGACCACTGAGCTATCTTCCCAGCCCTAAAAAGCTAAATTCTATAAAAAAAAAAAAAAAAAAAAAAAAAAAAAAAAAAAAAAAAAAAAAAAAGCAAAACAAAGGCAAGTATCACCCTTGAACAAAAAACCAAAACAAGACCAGTTTGGCCAGTGCGAAGCGGGCCGCTCTGACATCAAGAGCACACTGCTGGTGCAGCAGGACAGGCGCAGAATACCTGAGCTTTATAAACTTCAACTTAAGAAATTCACACCAAGCCGACATTTAATTTTCTGACAATAAAAACAAAAATATTGTAGATACTGAGCAACATGCCTGCAGCCCGCACTCCCACGGGGAAGTGTGCCGAGCCAGGGTGACTCACCGGTTTCCCTCACGCCTGTAACCTAAACAACAGATTACTCCACACTCGGGAGCCACTGCCAGAAACGCACCACAAGTCACGTTCCGAGCTGCTGGTGACTTAATCACCATTTACTTTTCTGTCAGTCAAACTGTTTATAGATGCCTCAGACTCTTCATTGTTGAGATCTTAGCCAACTTTGGATTAGACCAAAAATTTGCAGAAAACTTCATTCTGATACTGATTCTGCTGTTAGTCAAATATGTGAATGTTATACCCTCTTTCAGGAAAAAACAAGAAAAGGGGAAAAAATTCCCTCTAGCCTCTTGGGGATTTGAACAAATAAGAAACATGCATCTACTTGAAAAGAATGTTTAAAATACATTTAGGAATTACAAACAAAACACAGATAAAGCCATCAAGATTCCACACTTCGGAGATTTTTTTTGTCCTATCATAGGGTTTTCTTTTGTTGAAATAAAGCATAGAGTCTGTGGTCGGATTCCATTTCCCAAAAGCCATTCACTGTGCAAAGTGGCTGTCATCTGTCCTGTGCTGGGACCCAAAGTTCCACCCTGTTCATCAGCAGACATCACATCCTGGGGCTCCAGCAAGTCAGCCTTGGGCCCATGAGGCTACTTATACACTCAGAAAACTAGTTTCTAACTTCTGCTACAAAGGATTTTATACGGGGCCTGCCGTGCTGGCCCTGCCCTCAGTGTGCGCTGAGAGGGCAACTGAAACTGGGTGTAGTGATGCGCACCTGTAATCCCAGCACTTAGGAGGCTGTAAACAGGAGAACCACTATGAGTCCAACCTAGCAGTGAGACCCTGAACACCCTGTAGATCCTTCCCTAAAATACAGAAAAAAGAAAAAAAAGGATTTTATGAATGACTTTTAGCCCTCAACCACAAAGGGGATTAGAGAGCCACAGCAGGAAAGCCAGGAGGACAGAGACCACGTCTCTCTCCGGCCTGCCACACAGGCCTGCAAGGTGAGCTCTGTTTACACTGTCCCCCACTCCACCCTCCCTCATGTAATGTACTCACACTTTCATCCACCAGTTCTAGAGAGAAAAGCTTCCCTTCTCCTCGAGAATTGCTCCAGGTACGGATCTGACTTTTGTTGGTAACACGAGCACAAATAGTCCATCTAAAAAACAAATAGGTTCCATTAGTGTTTGGTGTCTTATTTGGACTAATGAACAAGTAAGAAATCATCTTTCTATGGCCTTTCTAACCCCATGCATATCCCATTTGTCAACGTGAGCTGTATTTTAATCTAGCTAATTAAAACCCCAAGACAACATACAAGCCTGACAATTTCCAGGATAAGCAAATAGTAAAAAACATAAAAGGTGGCTTAACACTAACTCATTTTCCTGTCAAGTACGTTTATAAGCTCCCTCCCTTCTCCAAAATCCATCACCAAGGCAACAGTATCTCTTTAATGAAAGGTTCTAAGCTAAAAATAAATTTAAAAATGTATAGTAATACCAGCAATTATATTTTGTTATGGCAACTGATATAACTGGTGGTGCTATGTTTGGAACTAAAATATCCCCAGCTCAGTGTAGTGGTGCACATCTGGAATCTCAGCACCCTGGAGGATGAGGCAAGACAACTGCCAGTTTAAACCTAACCTGGAAAACTTAGCAAGATGCTATGGTAAAAAATAAAAAAAGAGCTTGGGATGTAGTTTAGTGCTACGGCCCTGTGTTCAGTCCCCTATACACCAAATCAACCAACTAATCCCCGACAGGTTCACAGTGGGGCTTCTCAATGGTGATCAGCTCACAAGGGCTCTGACTTCATCAGTGAATTAACCTATTGATGGATTTGCAATTTGACAGCGTTATTAAGAGGTAATGAAAAAAAAAAAAAAAAGAGGTAATGGGGGGCTGGGGAGATGGCTCAGTGGTCTAAAGCACCTACTTAGAACAAGCTTAGCAAAGCACAGGGACCGTGGTTCGATCCCCCAGCACCACATGCCAGCCAGCCCCGCCCCCTGGTGGGCTGAGCTGGTCACACACACACACACACACACACACACACACACACACACACACATATAAATAAAAAAAAAAAAAGAGGTAATGGAAACTAAGGAAGCAGGGTTGAATTGGAGGGGTGCATTGTGGGGATGTGACTTAGGGGCTGTATCTGATCCCCAGCCCCTTCCTCTCTGGCTCTCACTCTGTGCTTCTGGGCTGCCATGAGGCAAACAGCTTTGTTCCACTGTGTCTTCCAAACACAGCCACTGAACCTGGACTGAAGCTTTGGAAACCATGAGCCAAAATAAACTTTCTGCTCTTTTAAATTGCCATTCTCAGGCAAGCTATCACAGCAATGGAAAGCTGGCTAACACAAGGGCCAAATTCTTGTCTCATTCCTAATGCATGATGAGTACAAATACCAAATGTGGTGCTCCTGGGTCAAAGAAAGAAAAACACATTGAAGCAGTGTGACCTTAGACATGGGACACTGCATAAGAAGGTGTAAGGCCAAAGACCCAGGCCTGGTGCCTACCCTGAACAGAGGTGTCAGGCATACTCACCACACTTGTAATTTTAGAGGGGATAACCAAGTACTGGGAAATAAATAAAAACCTATCTGAATGAATTCTGAAAAAAGAACTCTAATTCTCAACACTTAAATTAATTTTTAATGGGAAAGAAGTCATATAAGAAATATATGTTCAGTGTATATTAATGCAGTTAATATAAATAGTACATATTATCTTAGCCTAAGTAAATCACAGTAATAATTTTTAGACCAAAAGTGACCTATTTATAAGATGAAATGCCTTCTGCATTAACACAAATATTTATTTTTATTCACAGGCCTAGTAACTGCATCTTTAAATAGCAAAAATTCTTAATTTCAAATTCTTTGAAAAATAGTAAAACTCCACAATGGCAGGCTGCTTTTTCTGTCATTTTATTTGGTAAGAGTTAAAGACTGCCGCTGTTTGTTCCCTCCTCCACCTCCGGAAAGAAGAGACAGAGAGAGAGACAGAGACAGAGAGACAGAGAGAGAGACAGAGACAGAGCAGAGACAGACAGGCAGGCACGCAGGCAGAACAAGAGAGAAACCCATTTACATGGTGGTGACCACACAGAACCCACAAGAGCTTCCTCCACCATTTTCTAAGTACATTCTGTCTTGTCCCATACAGCAACTCACTTGGACTGGTACGGCGTGAGGCTGACAATGGGAACCACTTTGGACTGTGTCCCCCCAGAAGGGTGCAACGGGCCGGGCCCTCCAGGTTTTCCAAATGTCTTTGAGGCACCGTAAGCCTTGGGGGCGGCAGAACCTTTACAAACACATACACACAAAAGGATAAATCATTATTCTACTTAAATTTTATAAGTTTTACAACAATTCTTACCACTGATGTGCTGCAGTGAAATCACACAAGATCAGCAGCAAAGTTTCTCCTTTTTATCCTCCAAGAAATATGCAGTCAGGCACAGCCTGAAGCAGGAGGCCAGGAAAGCCATCTTGAAGGAAGTCTGGGCACATGGGAGCCTATAACTGTATCTGCTGACTTAAGCCCTGGGGTGGATAATGACAGTACCAAGTCTACACATCCTCTTTTCTGAGGTCCACCCTCTGAAATATCTCTTGCATTGTTAGCAAGAGTGAAAGAAAACCAACTTTCTTTCTTTCCTTTTACTATATTGGGTATAGGGTCTCACCACACAGCTTGGACTTACAGTGATCCTCCTGTTTTCAGCCTCCCCAGTGCTGGGATTCTAGGCATGTGCCACCACGCCTGGACTTGGTGGCCAACTCAGTATGCCTGGGGTGGGGCTGGTGCCAGCACGGCATGCGGTACCAGGGCTCGAACCCCGAACCCTGTGCTTGCCTAAGCAGACACTTAGTCTGCTGAGCTATCTCTCCAGTCCTGAAAACCAACTTTCTTGATGGGGAAAACTGATAGCAAATCATTAGTCTCACCAGGATGTAATGGACCTATAGGATAGGCCCTGGTGGTAAAGGACAACTATGACTTATAACACTACCACAGAATGGAAAGCCTGTAAAATGATGTTTAGTTGGGAGCACAGGGTGGGAATTGGTGTTTAGTCAAGACACAGGGGCAGGGTAGCCAGGATGACTGCTTCCTTTACCCAAAGCTATGCACCTGCTCACTACAGGGAAAGGACAGGTCATGGAAGCCCATTAGCAGAAGGGTTCCTTTATCCATACACTGTGTCTATACAGCTTCAACCTCCAATTTAGAAAACTTAATTTGGTTCTATGAATTTACATAAAAACATTACCTCAGAATAGAATTTCACTAAAAATATAGACCCGTCATTTACTGAGTTTTCACTGCATGTACCACATTACTCCAAGTAGCATAGCAGTGAGAATAGAAAACATAATTTTATTAATCACATAATGCACCCTTTCTTGAGGCAGGGAGATAGCTCAGCAGTATAAGTGCCTGTGTGGCAAGCACAAAGTCCTGAGTTTGATCCCTGGTACTGTAAAAACAAACAAACAAATCAAATCAAATAAAGCATCCTTTCTTCCAATATGTTTGTTTTTGCTGTGTGGGCAGGCTGACCTTGAACCCACAATCCTCCTGGTGCAGTCTCCTGGTGTTGGGATTCCAGGCCTACACCCCTGTGCCCAGCCTCTCCCCATTTCTTTTCTTGGTGCCAGGCAGCCATCCCTCGCTACATGTCTAGTCCATTTTCTTTCACAACCCAGTTTTGGGATCATTAATCATTAAAAATAAATTTCAGGGCTGGTGAGATGGCTCAGTGGTCTAAAGCACCTACTTAGAACAAGCTAAGCTAAGCAAAACACAGGGACCGCAGTTCAATCCCCCAGCACCACATGCCAGACAGCCCCGCCCCCTGGAGGGCTAAGCTGGCCACACACACAAAATGAATGAATGAATGAATAAATAAATAAATAATTATTAAAAAAAATAAAAAAATAAAAAAAAATAAATTTCAATACACTGTAAAGCACATATAGACAAATGGAAAGGTAATATGTGAAGAGAGAGGGAAGAATAAATAATGTACTACTTGTATTTCAGCTTCTAAGATGCTCTTAGATTACTCAGCGTTTCTATTCCACTACTCCCTTCAATAGTATATGAGAGCTCTGTATATGAAGGTCTAACCATAAAGGAAGACGAATAGATGATCGATTCAAGAATTTTGTTTGTTTTTTTTTTTTAAATTTATTTATTTGTGTGTGTGTGTGGCCAGCTCAGCCCACCAGGGGGCGGGGCTGACTAGCATGTGGTGCTGGGGGATTGAACCGCGGTCCTTGTGCTTTGCTAAGCCTGTTCTAAGTAGGTGCTTTAGACCACTGAGCCATCTCACCAGCCCCAAGAATTTTGTTTGTTTTTGTTCTGCTTTGAAACAAGGTCTCATTATGTAGGTCAGGCTGGTTTTGAACTCACTATGTAGTCCAGACTGACCTCAAACTGGAGGTGATCTTCTTGTCTCAGCCTCCCAAGTCTGCGATTATAGTATGTGCTACTATTTTGGGCAGATTCATAGATATTACTAGATAAAAACAACAAAGACCAATGCGGAAAAGTCTTATGTCTTCAAAGTTTCACAGAAACATTAGTGACGTCTTAACCTGCTTTTCTTAGAACTCTTCATTAAAAAACAGAAACTAATAACTGAGGAGAGGAGAAAAGGAGGCCTATGTGAAATTGTGACAGAAAAAACAGACCTCTAAAAATACACCAAACCACATTGCACAAGTTAATAATTTTTGGTGGTGACCTTGCAGATCAAGAGGTTCTTAAAACAAAGGCCCGAGAATAAACAAAACGATTCCATCAGGGCCTCTCAGGACCTGCTGCAGAGAACGTTAAAAGAAGAAACTATTTCTCTGCCATGAGACTGAGAAGCAGAACCTCTAACCTATAAATGATTCTGTCCTCACGCAAACAAGAGTCCAAAATGGGAAAACAAGAGACAGCCACACACAATTTAGTAAGCGGATGCTAGACAGTGAAAAGGCAAGATTTTAAAGGCATACAAATTCACAGAAAGGCAGAGGGTATAAAACACAAAGATGAAACTACAGGACTAGATAAGCTATTAACTGAGGAAAGTAGGATCCCTCTTATTTTAAAGGACTATCAGCAGGTGTAGCGGTAGACGTCTTCATCCCCGTACTTGGGAGCCCGTGGCAGGAGGCCTGCTGGAATTCCAGGTCAGCCTGGACTACAGAGTGAGGTCAAGGCCAGCTTGAACTAACTAGGGAAGGCCCGGCTCAGAAAAACAAAACACAATACAACAAGATTATCACTTTTTCAATCACACAGTCAATAAGAAGGATCAGAATAATTCTTTGTAAGACAACTCTTGTCATGTATAACATTATGAAAACTCCCTTTACTTCCATCCACATTGATAATTCAAAACATTATTTGAATCCTGCCGCACATGACTGACACACGTTCTGGTGCGGCCATCTTACCGGCTCCCGAGCTCCCGTTCTGCTGCTGCGGCCTGCCAGGGGTTGGACTGGCTGCTGCAACTGGAGAGGGAAGTGCTTGTGGCTGCCCCTGTCCTGAAGATCAAAAGGGAAAGGCTGTTTCAATGCAAATAATTGGAGCTAAGAAATTTGAATTTAACTGGAAGAAATACTCTGGGGAAAAAATGTAAATTTTTATTTCTTGCAGATCAGAATTTCCACCGGAACACTGGATTACACGTGTTTTCCAAGTTTCACTTTTTGTTTTCATGATAGAAAAGATTCACCTTTACCTCCTTATAATTGATAGCTTTCAGGTTTAATGAGGTTTTCTCCTAAAGCTTTACCCATTTCTCCTGTAAGAACCTGCACTAAAGTCACTGGGCTGAATCTGTGACATTACCACTATTTCCATAGCAACAAATCGATGTCATCAACAGAACTGTGTGTTCGTGGCAGGATTTATCAGAAGAAAAGGCTGGGTGGCAAGGAAAATCTAAAAGCAGTTCAATTGTCTCTCAAGTGCTCCCACTTCAAAGGAAAAGGAGACATTCAAAAAGGATTCTACCCTTTCCCTCCCAAACAAAGCAACCTTATTTTCCAACTGACAGTTGGCGGAAAATAAAAGTTGAAAGAGTCTTAGGTATCATGAAGTGCTAGTGAACTGTCACAGCAGGGAGAGACAAGAATGGAGTTCAGAGGCAGTTGTGTCAAGGAAACAGGAAGATTAAAAGGAGAAGAGAGGAAATGAACTTGTCTCTCAAGCAGAAAATAAAAAAAAGCCACACCACAGGGTATTTACTTGCCTCTCACCCTTTATACAAATGTTTATGAAGCTGAAGCACGTTAGAAGTGTAAACACACTCCATGTTTTAAAATAATAGCTGTATCAGATGTGATCTTGTCTTTGTCGCTGGCCTTCCAGGCAGAAGCCAAGCTCATCGGCTGGCTCCTAGGGGGCACTTGAGGCCTTTAAGGGCAGCTCAAAAGAACGTCACAGAGCACCTGAAAGCCAGGCCAGGGGCCGCAGGCCGGGGCTCCTCGCCTCCCTGCTGCCAAGTGCAAGCTCTGCTGGGATTCTCAAGCCCTGCCCCGAAGGGCCACGCACACCTTGATTTACTCTACCTCTGCCGTTAGCACCTTAAGTGGCACCACTAAGGGAGACACAACTGCGCCGTCAGAGTCAAACTCCACATTGAATTTAGGAGGTTGAATGAAACTGTTTATTCTTTTGTTTCTCCAACGGAGAGAAAAAGGGAGACCTTATTTTACATAGATGAGCAGTCTAGATCACTGACAATGAAATTTTTGTGTTTACTTTTGAGCTTTTCCATTATCTCTGAATTTACAAAGTGTCACAAGCAGCTCATGGGAGAACTGTTCTGACAATGTGTCTTGTGAAGAGCAGTTTAAATTCTTAAGTGAATCTTTTTTAAAAGATCAGTAGGGAAAAGATGAGTTGCTCAGTAAATACTACTGAAGCCAAGTGGATGGAAAAAATAAAACTGCTTTAACCTGCTTTATAAAATATATTCAAAAGAACAAGTGAGATTTAGAAATTCAAAACTGAAATCATAAAACATACAAGCCCCTGTTATACTCCATACCCACACCTCACTCTCTTCTAAGGCCTCGAAAACTGCTAAACAAGGAAGGCTTCCTCAGGGCCATCCCTGCCACGTCCCATGTGAGGCTAAACAGGACACCTAGTGGTCACCAGAACCCGCTGATCACACACTTCCGAACTCTATAAAAACCTAAGTGGCCCTCAAAGTCTGGTTTTACAGTGTGACATAGTCAAATCCACGGAGACGAAGTTAAGAAGTATGGCTATGAGGGACAGGCAGGAGTAGGAGGGGATTTGTGGTCTGGGAAGAGGAACAGCTCTGGGCATGGGGAGTGGTGGCAGGGCAGTGCCACTGGACTGTCACTGTGGTGCATTTAGATGCGGCTCAAGTTCACGTTACACATTTTAATTTTTTTTTTTT